GTGTGTGTGTGTGTGTTAGACGCCCTCTGGTGTTCAGATGGATATGTGGTGTGTGTGTGTGTGAGACGCCCTCTGGTGTTCAGAGGGATATGTGGTGTGTGTGTGTGTGTGTGTGAGACGCCCTCTGGTGTTCAGAGGGATATGTGGTGTGTGTGTGTGTGTGTGTGAGACGCCCTCTGGTGTTCAGAGGGATATGTGGTGTGTGTGTGTGAGACGCCCTCTGGTGTTCAGATGGATATGTGGTGTGTGTGTGTGTGTGTGTGAGACGCCCTCTGGTGTTCAGATGGATATGTGGTGTGTGTGTGTGTGTTAGACGCCCTCTGGTGTTCAGATGGATATGTGGTGTGTGTGTGTGTGTTAGACGCCCTCTGGTGTTCAGATGGATATGTGGTGTGTGTGTGTGTGTGTGTGAGACGCCCTCTGGTGTTCAGATGGATATGTGGTGTGTGTGTGTGTGTTAGACGCCCTCTGGTGTTCAGATGGATATGTGGTGTGTGTGTGTGTGTGTGTGAGACGCCCTCTGGTGTTCAGATGGATATGTGGTGTGTGTGTGTGTGTTAGACGCCCTCTGGTGTTCAGATGGATATGTGGTGTGTGTGTGTGTGTGTGTGAGACGCCCTCTGGTGTTCAGATGGATATGTGGTGTGTGTGTGTGTGTTAGACGCCCTCTGGTGTTCAGATGGATATGTGGTGTGTGTGTGTGTGAGACGCCCTCTGGTGTTCAGAGGGATATGTGGTGTGTGTGTGTGTGTGTGTGAGACGCCCTCTGGTGTTCAGAGGGATATGTGGTGTGTGTGTGTGTGTGTGTGAGACGCCCTCTGGTGTTCAGAGGGATATGTGGTGTGTGTGTGTGAGACGCCCTCTGGTGTTCAGATGGATATGTGGTGTGTGTGTGTGTGTGTGTGTGTCTGTGTGAGACGCCCTCTGGTGTTCAGAGGGATATGTGGTGTGTGTGTGTGTGTGAGACGCCCTCTGGTGTTCAGATGGATATGTGGTGTGTGTGTGTGTGTGTGTGTGTCTGTGTGAGACCCCCTCTGGTGTTCAGATGGAACATTTACTATGATCAGCCGCTGCACTGACATGAAATAATCACAGCCTTTGCCAAATCGCGTGCGTTTTCGTTGCGATTAATTATGGAGCTCTTAACACACACATGTGTTTCAGGAGCGGGTCCTGCTGTGGCTCCTGCAGTTCATGCAGGAACAGGCCATTTCTCTGGACGAAGTGGATCAGAACGGGAACACGGCGGTTCACGTGGCGGCTCAGTTTGGACATCTCAGCTGCGTTCAGGTGCTCATTACATCACTATTGTTATTGCTCATACTTAAACATCGACACGCTACTCTTCCCGCACCGTTTGTCGTAGACCCATGAAATGAGGTGTCAAATCGACCGGTTTATTGAGGAGAGGTGTGCTATGACTTTTCTAAGCGATCGGGTGTACGATGTTCGTCCGGCGGGCGATAAAACAGCCGAAAAAAAAGTCCCATAGACTTAACATTGGCACAAAATTTGTGAGATCATATCTTTGCATCAGAAGGTCAGAGAGACTTGGGGTTGGCTCTTTTGACTCGGCCTATCAAGCAGCAAATACGTAGTTGACATAACAACTTCATAGCCACGCCCTAGAAACCACTTAGGACACCCTAGCAACCATAAAACAACATTTACAGGCCATATTTCAGCTCCAGAAAAATGTAGAAACATGGATTTTGGCTTTTTTGTCTCAGACTATTTCTCTTTAAATATCATCCCATAAACTGTATAAGCACGCCTTAGCAACCATATAAGCACACCCTAGCAACCATATAAAGAACCCTAGCAACCATCCAAACACATGAAAAAGTTATATCTCAAAACAGATCATTGTACAGACATGGGGGTGGGGTCTTTTGTTTTGAGTGAGAACCAGTGTAAATATCACCAACCATGGTAACTGTGTAGCCACACCCTAGCAACCGTTTAGAGCCACCTAGCAACCATATTGCAACATATACAGTGGAAGGCATATTTCCTTATAGCTCCACAATATCGTACAGACATGGTATGCAATCATGTACAACACCCTAGCAACCGAGTGCCGAGTTTTGCCACTGCAAACACCAATCTCCACATTCTAGTTTCATCTGCACTTCGGATGCTTATTTCGTCTGGGATGCAGTAAGAACGAGAGACAGGAAGTGGCTCTCCTTCCCATTTCCTGTTGCTGTTCCTGTAGTGCTGAAAGACGTACCGGTCTGACTTGTTTTGTTCGGTTACAGACAGAAAGAAAAACACTGGTTCTCATTCACTAACCACACGTCACACAAATGTGCAAAATCTGCCTGCGAATGTTTCCACAAACAAAGTCAAGTCACCTTTATTAAAATAGCGCTTATTACAACACAGATTGATTCAAAGCAGCTTTACAGAGATAATAAGAAATTAACGGAACACAGTTTGTTTCGGCTGTACAGCAGATCTAGAAGAAACAAACCTCACAGTCCAGCTTCAGTAAGTTCAGTGATGGTTCATTTCTGTTGTAAAAAAGCTATTAATTTACTTAATTTATATATATATATATATATACACAGCCGCTCTGGAGAAAACCGTGTTTGAGCTGCATGAAAATGTGGATAGCCCTTATATGGGTTTATGCAAAATGAATGACTAACCTCGCTCGTTTAGAATACTCCAAATTCATTACCGTTATGGTAAACATATGTACGTGCAAAAATATTTGTGCGTATAAATATGAACATACATAATTCATGTAATTATTAGTGAATGAGGCCCAGTGATTGGCTAACCTCATCAGGATGGGTAATGATGCTGAATATTTAAATAGTTGATGATATGCAAATGTGGACGTTCATATGTTAATGAGCTCGTGATGCTACACGTTCCATTCGCTTCCATGCGGGAGACGTTGTGTCCCAAAGGTCAAACTCAGTGAACTTTGATCGGCGTTTGTGTCAGGTGAAGACGTGTGACCAACAGACGATCCATGCATCTTAGTTGGATTTAAAGAACGTACACATTAAAGTTGTGGCCACATTAGCGAACTGATATAATTGTGTAGCGATGTATAAAGCACAGCTCACAACGAAGACACTTAGTTTCAAAACAAGCCACTTTTACAACAATTCACATGAAATCCGTGACGACGCTTAATGTGAGCGGCGGGAAAGGGAGTAGGCTGTATATAAATGTAATTTTTATGTATAAAATATTTTTTAACCTCAGCTGATAAAGCTAAAGACGACGAGAAACCCAAACTACATCAGGTGACAGAAATGGAGAAAAAAATGAGGTCACTTTAGTTTAGGGTCCAATTCTCAACATTAACTATTAACTGTGACTTTTGCTTCAATAAACTCCTAATTACTGCTTATTAATAGTTAGTAAGGTAGGTTTTAAATATGGTAATGCAGAATAAAGTCCCCCTGTGGTGTAAATCCAGCGTTTAATGTTGTTTATGTGTCTATGTGGTGTTTTTAATACACTTTAAGACACACATGTGTAAGTTCATAAGTCGACAGCATTGCTGAGTATTTCCTCCTTAAAACTGCAGTGAACCAAAGACAGTCTCAAAAACACGGTTTGAAATCGCTGGTGTTTCTGACGTCACAAACGACCTTGTAACCAATCAGATCAACGTGTGATCGTCAACCAGTGGATCTCTGAGCTGAGGGAGTGAGTGGAGGCGGGGCTCATCTGCATATTCATAAATGAGGCGAGGGTGTCGAGTTACATTCAAGATATGTTAAGGCATGATGATTTTTTTTCTTCAATTTTTTCATTTCGGTGTTGCCAAAAATGTATATATTAGTTGTGCTCGAAGCCTTGAGTAGATGAAGTAGTGCTGGGAGCTAAACCGGTTCAGTAGTAGTAGGTAGTAGTAAAAAATCTTTATTTGTCCCTTTACAGGGCAATTTAAGTAGCTTCAACCTCACAAACATACAAATTTTTATAAAACAGAAAAACATCACAAAAACATCACAAACCCCGGGCATTTATAATAATTCTTCATATAGCTACTAATTAAAATTCACGGTACCTTTATCTTTGTTTAAATAAGTATTTACACTCATAACTGCGTTTGAAACAAAAGACCTAGAAGCTTTAACGGTCCTGCACTTGGGCACTCTATATCGCTTTCCTGAAGGAAGCAATTCAAATTCTAAAAACAAAATGTGGGATGTATCCTCTAGGATAGTCAAAGACTTCCTAAGAACATTTCTCTCACACAAAGCAGACAAACCCAACTGTACAGATCCTGTAATCTTTGACCCCAAATTAATAATGTGCTGAAGCTGGGATCTACTTTTAACATTTAATCCATAAAACCAACAGATCATAGCAAAGGTTAAAACACTTTCAATGAAAGATCTATAAAACATTATCAATATGGATTTATCCACTTCAAAGGACTTAAGCTTCCTCAGTAAATATAACCGTTTTTGTGCTTTCGAAATAATAAGATTTGTGTTTTCCACCCACCTAAGTTTGTCATCAATTAATGTACCCAAATACTTATATGAACTGACCTTCTCAACCTCTTTACCCGCAATAACTACTTTAGATGGAGTTCCGACAGAATTATAAAATTCTATAGTCATATCCTTAGTTTTGGATACGTTAAAATGTAAATGAGAACTCTCACACCAATCCAAAAAATATTTCAAAATGGGCCCATGCTCTGTGTCACCTTGCTTTAACAGACTCAGCACCACTGTATCATCTGCATATTTAATAATATGTCTGTCTGGATATTGACTTCTGCACCTATCTGTATATAAAATAAATAATAACGGTGAAAGGATACAACCCTGGGGACAGCCCACTGAAGATTGCAGTTCCCTGGTGTGTTCTCCATTCACCCGTACCATTTGAGATCTTCTGGTCAGAAAATCTAAAATCCAGGCCACTCTATAAATAATAAACGAGCATGATGCTTACCGATATCCACATGTTTATATATGTAATTTAAGAGTGTCAGAGTGGCATCCTCCACACTC